AAAATTTTTACACAGATAGATAGAGAAATCTTCACTCTATTTGTATGCGAAAGTTTCGGAAAAAATAATCAGATATAACAAAGTTATACCAATTAAAAGTTAAAAAATAAAAAATCTTTATGCAATTGCCCCACATCACTCTATATGATATCGATGAATACATATAGAACGAGAAAAAATGAGAAATCAAGCAGAGATTAAAGAAGATAGAGATTGTACCTAATCGAATAGATTGTAGCGACATTTACAAAGATATATCTCAATATTATTTAAATCAAATTCATTTAACAAAAATTTTCTCTTGTAAAAATATTTAATTGAATTTATAAATAAAATAAATAAAATGTTTTTATTCAATCATTTGATTGGTCAATATTCTATGATTTACAATCTTAAGAAATAAAATGTATTACGACGAATTTGCTGTAAAAGAGAATTTATCTCTTCCATCTCTATTAGAAGTACTTTCCGATGTACTTTATCGATATTCAAAACATGATCCATCTCTTCAACAACCTTTACGTTCGATTTTATCAATTAATGGTCAACAAAAGTAAAAAAAAACGATATTTTTTTTTGTAATTTATAATTTACAATCGAATTATCTAGTGCACTTTTAAATTTACCATGTATTGATATTCATCTTGGTTATATGTGTGTAAAAACAATAACAAGCTTTCCTGAAAGTTCACCAGCAATTGATGGTGCTGTATCATTATTTAATTCAAATAATGGTCGTTTACTTCTGGTTTGATAATAATAGTTGTAAAAATTTATAATTATTATTATTTTTGTAATATTTTAGATAGCTGATGCAAAAGAAATAACTGCACGACGTACAGCAACTGCTTCATTTCTTGCTACTCAAGTATGATTTAATTTCTTTTAAGTTTATTTTTTTGTTTTTGTTAATTTATAAATTTTAGTTATTAGCATTTAAAAAATGGAAAAATGAACAAAAAGAAAATGCAATATTAACTATTCTTGGTTGTAGTGTTCAAGGACGAGCTCATCTTGATGTTTTTACTCAATTATTCAAATGGAATAAAGTAAAAAAAAACAAAAAAAGATAATCTTGATTTATTTTTGAAAATAAATTTTAAGATTTATTTATGGAGTCGAAATATGACACATGCTATTAATTTACAATCAGATTATTCATCAAAATTAAGCAATATTGAAATATTAAAAGATTTAAATGATAATCGTCTTCAACAATCCGATGTTATTTGTACTTGTACAGCAAGTGAAGAAGCTTTAATAGGTCTTAAACAAGTGAAAAAAGGCGTACATATTAATGGTAATTCATTGATATATTACATTCTATTTCAGAGTTTGAAGCGACTTACAAAGAAATCTCCTCAGATGTTTCTCAATGATTTTGTTGTCAATAGATTCTACATAATATTTTAATAAAAATTTAGGTTTCTATTTCTCAATAGAAACCTAAATTCTATTACGGTTTTTATTAGAACACTATATAGTATCTATATTCTTAATTGTCTATAATGTAATGTACCTATTTTCGTTCTAAATATTACATTCAAAACAGTATCACACATTGCAAATCTTTCAGAAAGTGACCTATCAAAAATGGAAAACATCTTTTGTAAAACTTTATTCTATCTACTACTTTAATGCTATTTCGAATGTAATATTTGGAAAGAAAATAAACATATTACATTATAGAAAATTCGCTTTTCGATCAAGACGATATGTATTTGATGAGTAATATAAAAGTCTAGAATGGTTTGATTTTCTGGAATTTCATTCTTGAGACAGGTTATCAACAAAAAATTGTGATCCCTCGAAAATTGACTTTCGACCTCCAAATTTGCACGAACAAAATTCTTAATGAGATAATTGTACAACTTGTATTTTCTTTTACACATAAGAGAATTTTGAATGTTCAATATCTGAGAATAGAAAATACTAGAAAAGTTATAACTTGTGTAATGAACGAATCTCATTGAGTACTTTGTTCATGTAAATTTTGAAGTCGAAAGTCGATTTTTGATGGACCACAGCTTTTTGTTGATAAACTCATCCCAAGAGTGAAGGTCCAAAAAACCAAACAATTGTAGACGTTTATTCTTAGGACATACCTAAAACTTTGGATAAGGAGACCTATTGAGAAATGAAAAACCAAACATCCTATGTTGTGGAGCTTTTTAAAGTGTGTCGAATGGTATATAGTAAATCTTGTTTTCATAGGATTTTGAAGCACCTAGAGTCAATTTACTGATAGACGACTACAGAAAGCTCTACAAAATCGTATGTGAGAAAAAATATTTTAGAATTACTTTCGACTAATATCAAGGGCCACAATATTTAGAACCTTATCATGGTTGGGTATAGATTGTAGATATCTATCAGTAAATTGACTCTCGTTCCTTTAAAGTCTTATGAAAACAGAAGTTACTGTCTATCATTCGACGCGCCTCAAAAAGCTCTACAACATAGGATATTTGGTTTTTCATTTCTCAATAGATCCTCTTATCTGAAAAGATCCTTTAAACATCGTGGCTAGAACATTTGGTCTGCCCTAAGTGTTACTCATCAAATAAACATCGTCTCGGTCGAAAAATGATTTGATACGTGAAGAGATCATCTCATCAGTTTAAGAGATTGTTTAATAAAAATTTTGTTCAGTTATCGTGTATTTAATCTGAGCATGTATTTCCTAATCATGTTCTTGTAAAGATTTATTATCAACAATTTGATATAACATTTGTTGTGATTGTCTTCATGAATCTATTTTAATATATTTATTAATATCAACTAATAGATTGTGATACGAGCCTTAGTTTCAACATTATTATTCATTTAATCGAGTCTGCGAAGAGTTCGCTTAAGACTATGAGTTAAACTATAGGTGTCTGTGTGTCCCCAATTTCTCCGCTATTTCAAATGCTAAAAAATTCGGGTTGGTTTTAAAATGTAGTCAAGACGTGGCACTACAAATTAACAGCGTACGATTTTTTTTCCTAGTACATGTTTCTCGAAAATTCATCTAATAAAATCAATTCTAGAGCTGCTTTTTGACACCAAGCCCAGCTTTCTAGTGTTTAAAGTGGTGAAAATATCAAAATAAGCTTTAAGATTTTTTTCTTCCTAAACTGATATAAAAAGGCTACGATTTAAACGGTCAGCAAACTAGATGAAATGGTCAGTATTAGAATTAGCAGTAAAAAATACAGATTTGGTCAGTGAAAAATAGAACTTTTATCAGTAGAAAATGTTTTTATCCATATAAATAGTTTAGTATAAGGAAAATAATTTATATAATTCTTGTATGCATTGTTTTACATTCTCATCAACACCACGAAGTTTATCATGATGATTATTATGTTCAACTTCGGTTTTATAAACAGTAATTTTATCACTATCTGAATGATACAGTAAATAAATACGTGCTGCACATTGAAGTCCATGACGTTTGGCTTTGTTATATCTATAATAAACTACACTTCCATTTTCTGTATAGTTCGTGTAGTGTTTTGACCATTCATTTCCAATTGATGCTTCTGCTTCACCAGCATTATAGATGTATTTTCTTTAGTCCAACATTTTGGTTTTCTTTTTTTGAAAGATCTTTCATTTCCATTTGTATCATAATTTTCTTCTACAATCTCTTCATCTGACACATCACTTTCATATTGAAGAACTTGTATTATCTCCATCTCTTTCACTTGTTGACACTAAGTTGCAGTAGAAGAAAAGGATAGGAGTAAAGAGTATATATGGGGGTCGACGTAACATCTGTACAGTACAAGAATAGAAGGAAAGAAGAAAAAAATGAATCATACTATAACACATTTTAATTTCTATACTTGCCCTTTGATTTATTTAACTGTTAATACATTTTATTTACTGACCTTTAAACTTATTAACAAACCTAATTCATCGCTAACTGATCAATCACTCAATTTACTGATTTTGTATTTATTTCACTTACTGACCATTTCTCATCTATTTTATTGACCAAATATTTTGTTCCCATATAAAAAGTTGTTCGTTTTCATATTACGGCTACTGAGTGGAGATCTGAGTGACCAATTTGTCGCGTCCAAAAAAAAGATTGTTCCATCGTAATTTTCGTGGTGAATGCGAAAAAATTATTCTACTTGATGTTTTGTGTTCAGAATTTTAAGCTCTTCAAAATGATATTAAAAAGTCGAGAATATAATGATCTGTAGTGGAAAAAACTGCGGCACATTCGTCGTGACCAAAAGGCTTCGTGACTGGCTGTGACCAAAATTGGTCTCACGAATGTGTGGCAAATTTCTTCACTACAAATCATCATATTCTCAACTTTTTAATATCATTTTGAAGAGCTTAAAATTCTGAACACAAAACATCAAGCAGAATTATTTTTTCACATCCACTATAAAAACTATGATCGAATAATTTTTGTTTTTTTTGGTCATGACGAATTGGTCACGCAAATCTCTACTACTGAGATATCAACAAAAATCATAAATTTGTCTAAATCGATATACATCATGATTGAAAATGGGATAAAGAAAAGTTTATTACATTCGAGAGTAGACAATTTACTCTCTTTAACCATCTATAAATCAGTAAATTTGACCAAAATTTTTTGTTCTTTAGCTGTTGGTTCATTTCGTGAAACAATGCGTGAATTAGCTGATGATCTTATGTTATCATCAGATACACAAATTATTGTTGATAGTAAAGAAAGTGCAATGAAAGAAGCCGGTGAAATAATTCAATCAAAAGTTTGTTTTTGTTTTTCTAATACACAAATTTTATTCATTATTTTATATTAAGGCTAAAATAATGGCTGAATTAGGTGAATTAATTCATAATGATGAATTTTCTAATGATACATGCAATGAAAAAATAACAATTTTTAAATCAGTTGGTATTGCTGTTGAAGATCTTGCAGCAGCAATTGTTCTTTATGAATCATTAAAGAAATGAAGGACAAATATTATTTATTCTTCTTCTTGATTGTTTTTTTGTGATTAATTAAAATTTTGTAATTTGTCTTTGTGTTTGGTACAATGAATTTAAGATTTCTATCAAGATAAATTAAAATTTGACGATTTTTAGATACATATCGAAATTATTGTTTTTCATCTATTCAAAACAATTCATAATGTATAGAACAATTTGTAAACATCGGTAAGAAGAAATTTTGAATTTAAATAGAATAACTAATCATTTTCTCTCTTGATCACGATTCCTTAATAATTCGATTTGATTTAATAAACACTGAATATATATATCGAAGAAGAACATAAAACGATCTACAAATGCATCTATTATATAAGAAATCTAACCACATGACCTTTACGCTATTTGTAATACATATAGAGTTGCGAAATTCATGACGCTATATTGATGAATACTATAATTAGATTTTTTGAATACCAGAGATAAATCTTTTTTACTCTATACATTTTTTTGATGCAACCATCATTCCATCGTTACTCATTGAAATATCTTTAATAGTTTGATGAGAATTATAAAAGACTAGATCAATAAAAACATCAAATGCCCTATATTAACTTATTTTAATCATTTAACATCGTAAAAATCTAAATAAGATAGGTGTCTCATTTTATAATTAAATAAAATATCAAAACAAACTGATTGAAGAAATAAATCTGTAAATGTTAATATGAAAATCAAAAACAATAATTTAACATTTTGTTCTTATTTACTTAACATACAAAAACAATTTTCTTTTGATGCGTAATAATGAAGACGTATGTCAACGATAACTTATTCTGTTATTGATAACAACATATGAATCGTCAAATACTATTTAGCATTACCATAAATGGGTGTGTTTGTTCTCAAGATAAATCAATTTTTGATAAATGTTTTTCTTCTACAACAAAAAAACCAAGCAAATGCTTTCGATTTAACTGACGTTAACTACTATTATATATAGATTAACATTTTACAATTTTGAAAGACAATATTTAAACTTGTTTATAATTTGATAAACAAAATATGTTTTGTTGTTATTTATTATTTTGATGTGAATTAATTCGTATCGAAAAAGAGAAAAAAAAAACCTCTATATTTTCAATGTGCTTTTCGTATTTTCTTATTTATCACCTTTACAAGCTGAGAGCGAAGGCAAGAGGGCAATAAGTAAAAAGGGGGGATTGGTATTTTTCTTGTCAACCACAACTGATTTTAAACTTAAAATTTCAAATTATTTCAATTGAATTTAACTTTCAAGTTCTACACTATTATAATGATTAAATGTGTGATCTATGAAGTTAATCAATGATGTAATGTATGGTTTTTTTCCCATTGACATACTTTTATTCTCTTTCCCTACATTGATTCAAACGCAAATCTATCCCTAATATTCGTTTTCAATGTTTGAGATATATTTTATGTCACATGATGTTTTTCTTTCTTGCTTATCGCAACAAAAAAGAAACTTCATTATTGAGGGATTGTAAAAAGAAAATAGTGCAGATAATTTTTATCAACTAATGTAAATACTACCTTACTGTGATAAGACGTACGGGTTAAAAAATAAAAGATATATGTAGTTTGTTTTTTTTCTTATAAACAGTAATCTATTGTAAATGATGACCTATAATCTACAAGTGTTATTTGTATATGCGCACTTAGTTTTTTATTTTTTTTATTTTCAAAATCGTAAAAGACCTTTGTATTTTGTGCATAGTTTTTTATGAATCACGCCATTCTATCCACACCTCCTCAGTATGTTTTTAATGACGAGGTACATTTGACCGCCAGGAATCACGCGCTTTATTTCTACCATCGGAAAACAAAAACAACAAAAAAAAGAACGAGGGGTGTGACTGCTGACGCGCAGAACACATTTTGCTTTTTTTTTCTTCTCCCGTTCTTTCTTTTCCTTCATTGCAACTACAAAAACAATGACGCCATTCATAAACATGTAATCAATCATAGACGCTGGTATATAATATATCTACATGCAAACCTCTAGTATATATATCCATTCCTTTATCTATTTGCATATATATATAGATAACATGAATGAAGAGACTACTAATAATTTTTTTTATAGTATTTTCTTCGTTTACTCGTACGAACGAGAAAGATGAAAAACAAATGTACGCAGTAAGCAATATGTTTTTGTGTACCAATGAATAATTGTATTGTATAAATATTACTTTCGTGTCTAAAATAATCGTTTTTTGTACAGCTACTTTCCTTTTTTTTTTTTGTTTTTACAAAAAAAAAAACAACATCTTATGATTTTTATGTATATTCATTTTTAGTACCACTTATAAATGGTATTATATTTATTAACAATAAATTGAAGTCAAAATGACTTCATTGACGCGTATATTTGGATCGCTTAAAGGGTCGCTTAAGTCGGCTTACAACAATATCAATCCGTCCACACTTACTGGTGCAATTGATATTATTGTCGTTAAACAAGAAGATGGAACACTTCGATGTACTCCATTTCATGTTCGTTTTGGTAAATTAGGTGTTCTAAGAAATCAACAAAATAAAGTAAATAAATACATATGTAATGAAATTATTTAACTTTTTTTGTTAAAGGTATATATAACTATAAATGGTAATGCAGTTGAAGATTTATTTATGGAATTAGGCGAAGCTGGAGAAGCTCTATTTATCGAAGAAGAAACTGTAAATAAAATCTTTTTTTGTTTTGTTTTTTTAATTTAAAAAAAAATAAATTAAAATTCAATTTTTAGACTACACAAAATCTTTCACCAAATCGTCATTTAGAACCATCGGATAGCAGTATATTTCTTGATCCTGATGGTGCTATATTAACAAATTCTCATCCTCAATTATCAATTATTGATTGTACACCACAAATTATTAATAAACAACTTGATGAAGAAAAAGCACATGAAAATAATGAATCATCAGTACCAAAATATGCTTATGAACAACCATCAATATCATCTATTAATGTTGATGTATTAAATTCTAATGTAATTATATCAAATCGTCATCAGCAAAGACGACGAACAATAAATCGTATGGAACAAATTCATAAAGATTTAAATCATGATGAAGATCAAGAAGTTGAAAAAATATTTTCATCAAATTCAAATTCATCACGTTTACGTCGACGTACTTCAACATCAATATCTATGAATGATAAATTAACAAATAATAAAAATAATAAACAAATAGGTTTACCATTAAAACTTTCACGTCGACATAGTGCAAGTGAAAATGATTTACTTCTATTTGAAATTGATGGTGATGAAAAAGAATCAACATCATCTCCACCATTTGTTGATGCACATAGTCGAATGAATAGTATTGATAGTCGAAAAAAATTATTCATTATTCCACCAAGAACATCTAATGATATTGATGATGATGATGAAAGTTATAGTAGTAGTTTAGAAGATGATAATAATAATGATAATTCTGATAGAAATATAAGAACATTATCAAATCCAATACCAATTGAACAAAAATCAATAATAAATGATATAACACCAACTACAGATGAATCAAATTCATTAATTAATACAATTTTTTCTCAATCAGCACCAATAACAATTAATGATAATACTATTCCAATTCGAATGACTCAATCAACTGATTCAGCATCATTTTATTTAAATGAAAGTTATTCACCGGCAACTTCATATGAAAAGTAAATAATATAATTTTATTTTAAAAAAATAATATAATATTTTTATGTTTAAGTTCTATGGTTCTTCGACCACCAAGTCCACAATCTGATACGGAGTATGAATTAGATAAATCATCACAACAATCGGTAAGAAATAATCGAACAAATTCTGTATGGCAATGGAAATGGGGTGAATTTCCTGAACAAAGACGAAGTGTATTTAGATATTTATGGCCATCATCATCATCATCATCATCAAAACAAAAGACACCTAAAGAAGGAATGTATCTTGATGATATAACAAATAATAAATGTGATGATCGTTCACGTTATTTACCTCAAATGTATGTTTTTTTTTTTTTTTTATTTTCATACAAAATAAAATATTTAATTAAATTAGGGATTATCATCTTAATCAACCAAGAACTCCAAATGATGATGATCAAGAATCAGGTACAGGCAATTCAATACCACATTCTCCAATTCGAGAATATGAAACTTCGTATGTTGAAAATTTTCTTTTTTCATTTTTGTTTCGAATATCAAAAATGAAATGTATAGGTGTTTTTTTTTGATAAATTTTCATTGTTTTTTTTTTAGTTATCTTCTCGGTGATGTACAACTTTCATTATGTGGAAATTTGGATAAACCATCATTGATAACAGATGATTTATTTTATGCACATCTTATTTCATATGAAAAATTTGCTAATAATCCATCAATCATCAATGATCCAAATTTAGTTGTACGTATTGGTGGAAAGTATGTAAATTAAATACAAAAATAAAAACAAAAAAGAGTATTTTTTAAATAATCAATTTTCTAGATATCATAATTGGAATGTAGCTTCAGCACTTATTGCTTCGGCTAGTGTCTATCATAAACAATTACCACCTGAAATTGTTGAACAATTACAAAAAAAACATATGATACCAACTACACCACGTACAACAGGTGGTATTAGTTTGTGGCCATTTTCTGGCAAAAATGTAAAAATAAAATTGCATATTAAAAAAAATTCTCTATGTCTATTTTTAATAGTCTAATACAAAAACTGAAACTACTTCATCAGCAGGAGCAGAAGCATTGGCTTTAGTTGTAAAATCCGAAATTTTTCCAACTATATTACAAAATCAAAATTCTAATCGAAAGAATTCGTAAGTTACGTTTTTTTTTGGTTGATCTCAGTTTGTTTATATATTTTTTTTTTTCATAGTATTGATACTGAACAAGCAGATCATGAAGTAAGAAAATTAACCCATAAAATGGAAAGTCAACAATCAATTTCAACAAAAAAGAAAACCATGATTCTTACATCAGATCAATTAAAACAACTTAATCTTAAAAGTGGTAGAAATCAAGTTGAATTTAGTGTTACAACAGCTTTACAAGGTACAACTATAGTTGAAGCAAATATATTCTTTTTTGATTATAACACAAAATTTGTTATATCAGATATTGATGGTACTATAACAAAGTAAATTTCTATTACAAAACAAAAAAAAGAATTTTATAAAAAAAAAAAACAAACTTCTGTTTATTTAAGATCTGATGTCTTTGGTCATATTTTTCCCTTATTTGGTAAAGATTGGTCACATGATGGTATTGCAGAATTTTTTCAAGCTATTCAAGAAAATGGTTATCAATTTATTTATTTATCTGCTCGTGCTATTGGACAAAGTCGAGTAACAAGAAATTTTTTACGCAGTATTAAACAATGTGGTTTTGCATTACCCATTGGTCCATTACTTATTTCACCTGATACATTAGTAACTGCACTTTATAGGTATTGAAATGAAAATTTTTTTTATAATAAATAATTAATTTTCTTTTATTTTTATAGAGAAGTAATTGCAAGAACACCCGAAGATTTTAAAATTGAATGTTTAAAAAATATTGCAAGTTTATTTCCAGATAAAAATCCATTTTATGCCGGTTTTGGTAATCGATTGAATGTAAGAATTTTCAAAATTATTATAAAATCTTTAAGAATTAGAATATAGATAGATTTTCTATGAACTACTAAAATTGTATTAAAATTAATTTTTTGAGTCAGTTTTGTTCAAAATTCTAAATAGATGAAAATAAAAATCATTTTCAATTGTTTCAAGCATTAGCTCATAGAGATGACAGAAAAACAAATGAATATTTTACTATTATTTTTGTAAATCTTTTTAAAGGATCAATGGGCATACACAGCTGTTGGAATACCAGAGACTCGTATATTTACAATAAATCCTCGTGGTGAAGTTGTTCGACAAAAATTATCACAAGTATTATGTACTTCGTATGTATTAAAATATCTTTTTTTTGTTTTTTGAAAATTGTTTTTTTTTTGTTTCTCTTCAAAGATATAAAAATTTACATGAAGTAGTTGATCAAGTATTTCCTCCAATGGATTCATTTTCTGCAAGTGAATCTTATTCATCATTTACATTTTGGCGTAAAGAACCAATAATAGATTCATTAGAAAATGAAATGCGTCAACATGTTGAAGAAATGCTCGCACGACAAAAATCTAAAGGCAAAGGATCAACATCTGGTTCTCCACCAAAGACAACACCTACAACAACATTAACAAAAGGAGCTGGTGAAAAAGTATTAACAATTGCTCAAGCAACAGAAAATACAGTGAAAAAACCATAGATAAAAAAACAAACAAACAAACAAAAACATTTTTTTTTTTTGCATTATATGCCTTCCTTATTGATCAATCAATAACAACATGTCAGATGATAATAAACAATAATTTGTATTATTTCATTCCTATGTTTTAATTGCACCTCTGTTTTTCTTCTTTTTCATTTTCATCTATGTTTGTTTTTCTTTTTCATTGATAATTTTTCGTTTTTGTTCTTTCATCATATATATTTTTATGTAAATATATCTTTGTGTTTGATTTATGTTTTTCAAAAGATAAAACAAAAAAGATTATAAAATTCAAGATATTTTAGCATGTGGCATAGACATATTTAATTTATAGATGAAACCATCTCGTTTAATACGTCGTTTTAATAAAAAAGGTCGTCAACAAAAAAAAATTGTTATTGAACAAAATCCATCAGCAAATGTATTTTTATTTTTTATTCATTTTTTTTTTTTTTTTGCATACAATTTTTTATTTCAATCAGGTGATTGTTGAAGGAGAGACAACAACAGCTGACAATAATTCAATTTTACCATCAAAAAAACGAAAAACTCATTCTGTTAGTCAAATAACAACACCTAGCAAACGTAAATTATCAAAAAAAGAACGTAAACGTCTGGAAAAAGTACTCGATGTTAAAAAGAAAAAAGCTAAAGTAATCAAATAGAAATTTACAATTTCATATTAATGTTAGGTTTTTTTTTAATATAGCGAGTTGAATTACTTGATAAATTAGGACAAATACAAATTTCTAATGATGAATTAGCTCTTCTTCATTCAGTAAAAAATATTGGTAGCAAAACAAAACGGTAATTTTAAAATCTAAAACATTATTTTTATTTTTATTATTTTTATTCAGTCAACCGATTGATATTCAAGTTTCAACAACAAATTCTTCTACTTCAATTAATTTTAATCAACGTTCTAGAAAACGTCCAGCTCAAGTATCTACAGAAATAATTCAAAAGTTAGTTTATAAATCTTCATTTATAATAAGTTTATTTTTTTTTGAATTCATTCAGTGATTCAGAATCAAGTTCAAATGATGATGATGAAACTATTAATGATGAAGATATTCGTAAAGCTTTACTTCCTTCGCAACCAACAACAACAACACCTATTCCTCCACCTCCTATCAAACGACGACAACGTCAAAGTAGTACAAGTAGTGTCGAAGAAACTAAAGTCGATATTCCAGCTCGACCACATGCAAATGTTCAAGTTGAACGTAGTGAAGAAATTCAAGCAATACGTTCACAATTACCGATTATTACTGAAGAACAGGCTATTATGGAAGCTATTCATGATAATCTTGTTGTTCTTATTTGTGGAGAAACTGGTAAAGATTTTTCTATTAAGACCATTTCCCTGCCTGAAAAATTGATCTTGAGTTCTGTACATTCTAATCGTATGAAAAGACTCCGTCGGATTTGATGATCTATCTTGAATCAGGATACCGTATATATGGTTTTGTAGAGCAATCTATGGTACATCCAAGACCGGTATATTAACAATTTTTATACACTAATAATCAGTACAATATTCCTGATATAAATAATTCTTTTATAAACGGAAAAAAAATTTTCTTTGTGTTTGGATTCACGGGAATATGAAAAAATTTATTTTTAAAATTCTTCTAGAGTTGCATGCATAAATCAAACCTAGATACTCGAAATAATAATTTGAGAAAGAAATAATATTCGTTTATGAAACAAAGTTATTTATACCAGGAATGCTATACTAATTATTGATAATATATAAAAATTTATTAATAGAATCTTTGACTATTGCGAAAATATCATTAATATACTGGATATTTCATACAGGGAAAAAAAGCTACTCTACACTCTAAAACAAAAGTATTCCTGGAAACCGACCGAAAAAGCTTTTCGAGGGCTCGGAAACCTCGGTTTCCTAGAATACTTTTTTTAGAGCGTAGGAGACGACAATGAGTCCCATCTGTTTTGAAAGATGTTATCATATCGTTTATTAAAGATCTCAGATCTCGGCCTATGTTCTCATGTATTTATTTCAGTTTTAATATTTCTGTTGTTTTTTGTTTCATTCTATTAAGGTAGTGGTAAAACAACTCAATTACCTCAATTTCTTTATGAAGCTGGTTATACTCTTGATGGTAAAATGATTGGTATAACTGAACCACGACGTGTTGCTGCTATATCAATGGCATCACGTGTTGCATATGAATTAAATTTAACAAATGAGTTAGTTCTTTTCTATTTTTTTTTTGTTTTAAATTATTTTGTGTTTTTTTTTTGTAGTCAAGTTTCATATCAAATACGTTATGAAGGTACATATAAAAAAGAAACAACATGTATTAAATTTATGACTGATGGTGTTTTATTAAAAGAAATACAAAATGATTTTTTATTAACAAATTATAGTTGTATATTGATTGATGAAGCGCATGAACGTAGTATTGCAACAGATGTTTTAATTGGTTTATTATCACGTATTGTACCAATACGTTGTCGACGTAATGATCCACTTCGTCTTGTTATTATGTCAGCAACAATGCGTATTGAAGAATTTATTAATAATAAATATTTATTTAAATTAAAACCAAAAATTATTAATATTGATGCAAGACAATATCCAGTTACAATACATTTTAATAAACAAACACCAAAAAATTATATTAATGAAGCTTATAAAAAAATTTGTAAAATTCATCGACAATTACCATCCGGTGGTATTCTTATTTTTGTTACTGGTCAACAAGAAGTTAAAACATTATGTTATCAATTGAAAAAAAAATTTCCTATAAAAATACAAACAGAAAATGATGGTAAAATTTGTTTTAAATATATTTCTAATGAGTATTATATTCCATTGGGTATATGTCTCAGTAAGAAACATCTACATCCTTCTTTCCTTTCTTTTTCTTGCTTTAATATTATTTACAAATATGCGACAAAAATAAAACATAAGCGACTGTTCGAACAAGAAAAAAACATTTTTCTTTTAGCACATATTCGTAAAGAAGAAACAAATGTCGACATTTTTTCTCTTTATTTTTGCATCGTATGTTATATACATTCGAGGTTCTTTTTATGTTACACATATTAATACTAAAATATGTCAGAAAAACATATCCTTTAACATTGACCAGAGAACTTTATTATTAACTGGGAAGTAATTCATATACAAAAAAAAAAAAACTTGAAGATCATTATTTATTTATACAAAAGACAATTTTTATTTCTATGGTATATATTAAAAATAGTCCGCGAATTCATGTTTTTTTATTTTCCATGTTTCTCTAACATATGTCTGATATTTAGATGAACCACATTTTAAATCAAAAAAATCGAAAAAGAAAATACAAGCAAAAACAATCGCCGATAAATCTTCATTAGATATTATTGATGATGAAGAACTTGAACATTTACAATCGGATATTGAAGAAGATGAAGAAAAAGATAAAGAATGTTCAATAACAAGTGATCTTGATGATGATGATAATGCAGATATTAATGTAAAAGAAATATCTATTGAACCACTTTATGTTCTTCCACTTTATGCAATACTTTCATCAGAAAAACAAGCTCGTGTATGATTTCTTGTTTTTTGTTGTTGTATACTTATATACAAAATAAAATTTTTTTTCTTTAGGTATTCGAACCTCCACCACCTGGTACACGTTTATGTGTTGTAGCAACAAATGTTGCTGAAACATCCATTACAATATCAAGTGTAAAATATATAGTCGATTGTGGCAAAGTATAACTAATATAAAATAAAAGACAACATTTTTTTTTTGATTGATTTCTTTAGGTTAAAACAAAATATTATGATAAATTAACTGGTGTATCAACATTTCGTATTGAATGGACATCAAAAGCATCAGCTAATCAACGAACAGGTCGTGCTGGTCGTACAGCACCTGGTCATTGTATGTATTCTTCTTTTTTTTTTTTTTATGAAACATACTCTAAAAAGAATGTTGCAAGATCTCATTTGATAAACGAAAGTCTGCTCTATAAAATGCACTATTTTTTAAAGTTTTGAAGTCTATGCTTATGAGAAAAGATTCCTAACTGTTTAATCGCTTTTATTTTTTCTTTATAGGTTATCGACTTTATTCATCAGCTGTATATAATGATTCATTTTCGGAATATACATCACCAGAAATTGTTCGAAAACCTGTTGAAGATCTTGTTTTACAATTAAAAACATTAAATATTGATCGTCTTGCTAATTTTCCATTTCCAACATCACCTGATTTAAAAGCAATTAATGTTGCTGAACAAATTCTTATTCAATTAAATGCATTAGATAATAAATCATCAACAAAAAAAATTACTGAATTAGGTCGTCGAATGTCAGCATTTCCAATTAATCCAAGATATTCAAAAATGCTTGTTATTGCTCAAGAAAATCAAGATTTATTACCATATGTTATTACACTTGTTGCAGCACTTAGTGTTAATGAAGTATTAAATAGTGGAGAAGTTAAAATTCAAAAAGTATAATCATTTAAATTTTTATTTATGTAAAATATATATATATTTTTTTTTAAATAGAATAATCAAGAAATTAATATTAATTTAGATGATTTAAGACGACAATGGATAGGACAAGTATTTATTTTATATTATTAAATCAGAGATATTTATTTTGTTCATAGGGTGAATCACTTTTACTTGGTGATATAATGGTTTTACTTAAAGCAGTTGGTGCATTAGATCATCAAAATTCCAAAAATGATCTATCTATTTGTATGCATTATGGATTACGACCAAAAGCTATGACTGAAATTCGTAAAATTCGTCGACAATTAATACAAATTGGTAAAACATTTTTATAAAATTTTTCGAGAATATTAGTTAGAAATATACCATTAGCAGTAAGTAGGGAGCTGCGGATCCTTCCGGATTCGAATCCAACCTTTTATTTCTTGTCAGGTTCTGAGAATAACGAATAAATAACTAAAACCTTGATTCTTTACTTGTTCATGTACACGAAAGGCACCAGGTATTGATAGGAAAAACCTAGAGTTTGGACTTGACTGAGGCTAGGCTTAGGTCCGACCGTAGCCGGGTCCACAAAAACGTGGACCCGCAGCTCTCTATCAGTAACACCAGTGGATAATGACGGAGCTTGTCTCGCCGTTAACTACTCTACTGATTATTTGCAAATGTAGCATACGTAATGAGGACGTCACCCGTCACTATCCACTTCTCAGAAACAAGAGGAGCGCTAATGTTTTGGGCTTCGCTACTACCAACGAAGCTATATGTTTTTTTATTTTCATTATACGGACTGTAATGAAATGTAACATCATCATCTTTATCCGATTCGTGCTATCAATCATTTAAGCATTCTCGATAAATGTGACTCTTCTCTCGTCTTATGATCGAGACACATGATTGGGTTTCCTCCTTTCTCCATCATCCATATAGATATAAACATGTGTTCGTAAGTGGATTAGATTGAAGTAAACATCTTCACATTTGCCAGTATCCTTATATTGAAGTTTGTCATACGGACGTTTTTATGCTATGAGGAGTCAGTACTACTATAGGGCAGGGACTAGAGGGATTTCGGCCCTCTAGAAAGCTTCGAGCTCTCTATTAACGGGCGAATTGTGTTAAAGAAGGAGCTTGAGTCCCATATAAAGATATGCTCAAAGGGCTGAGCTTCCTCTTAAAACTTTCTTCACGTGTTTATCAGCTTTCTTTCTTTATAATAGTTTTTCTTATATAAAAATATTCTTATCTTTTTTTATTATACTATAATTATTCAATCATTATAGAAAATCTTTGAAGTTTTCTCTAGGAAAAAAAAACCTCCGTTGTTTTTCCATACCTTATCGATTTATTATTCCCCAGACAGGAAAAAACAAGAATATTATTTATGATACATGTGAGTATTCGATTGGCAGAAAATATCTGATTTGGTAAACATACGTATTTTCCTTCAAGAAAGAAAGAAAGAAAGAGAATATAAAGAAATAATAATAAGGCGAAAAAAATGCTTTCTTTTAGTGAAATCAATATTACCAGAAACAGGATCAATACTTGATGCTCGTCTTTTACCACCAAGCGAACAACAAATATGTCTATTACGTAAAGTACTTGCAGCTGGTATGGTCGATCGTTTAGCCAAGTAAATTCATATATTCTATTTTTGTTTATGATTGATAAAATTTTGACTTTTTTAATAGACGAATCGAAGGATCTGTTATAATTAATGGTCATAAAGCAAATAATGCTTATCAGGTTATTTAAATACAACACACAAAAACAAAATATAATTTCAATAAATCAAATACTTTGATTTTAGACTCTTCTACTTGATGAACCGGTATTTATTCATCCATCATCAGTTCTTATTAATGATTTACCATCATTTGTTTGTTATCAAGAAGTACATGAAACAAATCGAATATTTATCAAAGGTAGTTTTCTTTTTCTTATAAAAACAAGCTTGTTATCATAGCCTCCTTAGAGCGAAAATATCAAACTCATCTGTTTTCTTTACCCTCCTTATACTAATACAAAATGCATCAAGTGAAAAATCTCTAGTAGACTATAGTTGTTTTCCAAGAACAATCGATCACCAGGAAAACATTTACTAGTGTGCTACTTAATTCTAACCATTGATTTAACTGGCAAATAAGCCGATAGTACATATCCATTAGATCTACAGTAGACCTCAAGGCACAATTATAAAGTGGTGGAAAAAAGTTTAGAAACAACGATTTTTTTGATTTTTTTCATAATGTTAAGCACGTAAATTCAATCCGAATAGTGATTTTAATAGCCAATGGAGTTTTCTATCCAATACACTTTATAGAAAGATTTCACAGATGAACAATGATGGCAAGGTTCCTAAAAAACCGAATATGGTATTTTTCAGGTTCTAGGAGACTTTTTCAAAGCTCTTTTTGAACGATGCCATCTTAAAAAGCACAAAATTTTGAACAAAATGAGAGCTCGTCGAGTTTTCTACGACTTTCTCATAAAAAGTTACAAGCGTCACAAAAATCATGAAAAATGCGTTTTTAGTCGATTTTTAAAAAAATTTCGTTTTTTCATGATTTTTGTGATACTTGTAACTTTTTATGAGAAGGTCGTAGAAAACTTGGCGACCTCTTATTTTGTTCAGAATTTTGTGCTCTTTAAGTTGGTATCGTTCAAAAATAGCTCTGGTAAAGTCTTCTAGAACCTGAAAAATACCATGTTCGGTTTTTTAGAAACCTTGCCATCATTGTTCATATGTGGAATCTTACTATAAAGTGTATTAAATAGAAAACTCCATTGGCTATTAAAATCACTATTTGGATTAGAGCTACATGCTTAACACTATGAAAAAAACCAAAAAAATCGTTTTCCGATAAGCTCAGAAACATTGATATTGATCATATAATGACTATTTAGAATATTCACAAAGAAACTCTGGTAAACAACTTCTCGATAGACACATTGTGTTTTAATTTTTTCAAAATGACATTGCTAATAAATGAATTTTGTTCATATTTATTTAGATATTTGTGCTATTCAAATGGATTGGATTGTTCAATTAAATCCACATTTATGTTCATTTGGTCCTATTGAAGATGATCCTCAACCACGTTATGATGAAAATCAAGATAAAATGCTTTGTCATCGTAAAGCAACAATAGGTCAACGAGTATCATGGTCACTTGGTTCATCAATTGAAACAATATTTCCAACTAATACAAATGATCGTTATCGTTGGTTTGGAAAATATTTTCTTGATGGTATTATTTGTCCTCGTCTTTTACAATTTCGTTCAACTTTATTATGTTCATCAAATGCTATGGTTAAATCATGGGCATCACTTATGGAACGAACACAATTATTTCTTAATGCATTAGTAATAAAAGAAATTGATAATCGAACAAAATTAAAAGAAATTTGGTCAATAGAACCAAAATGTAAGAAAATTAATATAAAAATTTATTGAATTTTAAATCTTTCTTGTTTTTTTAGATCTACTTGATGTTTATTGTAATTGGTTACCAGAATCATTACATGCACAAGTTAGATCTATATGGCCACCAATACCATTTGTTTTGGAAAAATAAAAAATTCTACATACAAAATTTTTTTGTATGTCGAAAAATTCATTCTAAGAATTTTTTGGTTTTTTTTAAAATTTAAATCTATCAAACTGTTATGTTTTTTTTTTGTTGAACAATTTTAAACATTGTTATAGATAAATTTCATAAGATAAAAAAGATGCCTCGTATTGATAATGATATTAAACTTGATTTTA